TTATCCACCGTACACAGAGAAAAAATTATCATTCTTAGGAATGCTGACTGCAAAACGACCTGATATACCAGGGATTAAGTATATTCCTCATCTATTAGCATTTGGATTGGGAATTCTCGTCACCTTTGGCGTTACAACCGCTTTAAAGGTATATAAATCGAGACGCATTTGATGCACCATGTAATTTTCATTCGCAACGCCAGATAATATATGTACTAGTTTCGCTTCCGCACAAATTACAGCCGTTGTCGTACTGCACATTGTTGATAAAATTTTGTACTCTGTAATCTTACAATTGAAATAGACTTGTTATATTCGATTTCTGAAAATGTGCTATAACTTTTTTTTATTTTTTATTTATTTTATGTTATCGAATATTACGCACATTTTAACAAGTTAATGTTATGTTAATTGTAACCTGTGGTACAAAGAATTGTAAAGAGTATATTGTATATTTAATACATAATTTAGTTAATTTATTTCAAATATAATTTTTGTTATCATATTCTAGTCGTTGTTTAGTTGAACTCGCTTTTTTAGAGATTTGGCAATATCATTGCCAAACATAGTGACGCGTCCAAGGAGGGTGAAAAGTGGCATTTGCACCCTCTTCCTGTTACAAATAACAATTTTCAGTTCATCCTCCTTGCTAAATTCCTAACCTCGTCACTGACTGAATATATAATCTCGAAGTTAACGATAATTGAAAGTTCATGTACAAATTTTCACGGATTGATAATAGCATAATAAAAGCAATATTTATATAATTTGCTATATAAAACCTCCAATTATCTTAATTTTCCTAATCAATCATATTTAAGTTAATTATTTCAGTCCTAAAAAAGGATAATAGTTAAAAGGTCAGTGTAATACTGTAATTAAGTTAAATAATAACAATTGAATATGAGTAAAATTAATGAGTAGTTTGCTTTCATTATTAACATATATATGATGTACTTCTATACAATACAATAGCTTAAAACTGTCATTATATACAATATCAAATAACACACAACACTGTATATGTTGGCTAACAGAGGTTTGGAATACAGACTAACAAAGTTATTGGCTGGAATATAAACAACTTAATAACAAGAGAATAACTTTTTCAGGCTCAAGAAGAGAATTTGTAGTGGAAGCTTTACATACAGAGAATATATTGTTGCAATATTATAGATTTATGAATGTTATGCACGTATAATTTTTATAGTTGTTTTAATCTTTCTGTATTTATACACAAACTTTTTATATAAATATCACATGAAGGTAACTTTCTTTTATTTTAATATGAAATACTGACGAAAATTGTACTTTTACATCGGGAAAATATTTATTTTTCATTGTAAGCAATTCTAAAATTCAAGCTTCGATAACTAGACTTCTACCGAGACTGTAATAAAATTTATTGGATTATATGTGAATGTTACATAATCTATACAAGATATGTAAAGTAACGTACAAATGTGTTGCCATAGAATTAAATATTTTTTTAAACGAATAAAAACGTGAACATTCCAATGTTTATATTAGAACTATATAGAATTATAAATTTCAATGTACAAGAGTTATACACTGTTTATACAATATTGTAATTAAATTACATACGAAATATAAAATAATGACTTTGGTATTTAATAAATAACTATTAAATTAACATAAAATATAAGACGAGTTGATTATAAATTAATTATGCAATTGTTTTTTCATCCATAAACTGGTACTAAAAAATGAGTACGCGTATGCATGAAAAACAGAATTTATATATTTATTGACAAAGTTTCTAGCGTACATCATATGTTATCAAAGATTTGTTCATATGTTATTAGCATTGTTTTGAAAATCCTAATTCTTTGCTTATAATATTTTACGATATATACATTCATGTTACGCAATATTTATTGAAAATCAATTTTCGATATCAGCATTTTAAATACAATTGATAACATGTCCAATATGGTATCCAAGTATTTTCTCGTATCTTACTGACCATGGCAGTTCGTTATAACACATTTATCAACCAAAAGGTTAGCATAAGTCACAGTTCAATTTCTTACCACCATTGAACTATTGCTTCCACGTGACTGACATTTCACCTCCTTGAGTACTATCGCGTTGTGGGCTCTGTAAAAAGACATTATGAAGCACCATATAAGGTAAGCATGAATAATACGCCAAATTAAAGGTAAAACAATTTGATTACCTTAACATGTATTTGTTGCTTTAACATAGCAGCTCTTAGAATTAACATCCGAGTACGTCTCTGGTAATCTTTGCCGACGCTCATGGACTTTTCAAATGTTGTACTGCGTTGATCAACATCCTTTGCATACAGAATCTGAAAATACATAAGTTTATACGAAAATAAAAAAGCTGCTAAGCATTGATAAATATCAATACCAACTTAAATAGTAATCACCTTATTGTGAGAGTCTATACGAGCTTGGATTTGACCATCAAGAATTAATTGCATGAGCTCGTCTTCTAACTCTGACACTGTTCTATTAAAAGCAGTCGCCATGCGTCTCATGTCTGCGCTCAAATATGGGCTGAAGTATTGTATTAACGCTCTATTTCGAATTTGTGTGTACAACACGTTAACGTGGGGCGCTATGTACATATCCAGTAATATATTATCCTTTATCTCGTCCAGTAGTTTCAAACACGACGCATATTTCGATTCGTAAAATTTAAAAATGATATCCCTTAATTGTGGTTCCAGTTCAAGGAACAATTTGAAGGAACTGCTAAAAATTACTTGCTTTTGCAATTCGTGTCTATCAAACGTAGCTAGAGCACAAAGGCCTCCATACAAAGCTACGTTTCCAGGTGACAATAACTCTGGACAATCACAATGATCCAACGACGCCTGGAGAAAGTGTCTCGCAGCCATTTTATATTTTCTTGTTGCTAATTCTGCCAAACCAGCCGCGACTTTTAACTTTGTAACTATAGACTGATTGTTATCTTTACCATGAACATCAGAGAAGTCTGGTGTACTTTCAGCCTTTGTAACGTAACTCAAAACGTGGGTCCAATTTTGCAAATAAACAGAGACTTTGATAACATTTAAACACATATTAACAACATGCTTGCCGCTAGTGCAATAATCACGTGCTCTGGAGTAACATTTTAAGGCATGTACAAGATCTCCACAATCGAGATAATGGTCTCCTAAATCATCGTGACCTCTCCTGATACTTTCTTTAATTGAATTACTTCTGTAGTTTTTTAGATCTGTATCAAATTTTTCTAATTTCAAAGCAGCCTTTTTGGAACGAGACTCGATCCAAACATAGTCCACGGTTAAGGTGTCTTGAGATGTTGACTCTGCCGCGACATCTGGTAATCCAGGATTGCCTACAGCTTGTGCTAACTTTTTGTGTAATATCACATAAAGGGAAACATTATATGTTGTCATAACATAAGAAATAGCCATCTTTAAAGCCTCTATCCTTAACATTGGACAGTGATCAGCTATGTATATTAGCCTGTATAGTTTGGCAAGACCAGTATAGCTGTTGGCATAGACTTCCAAGTCCTACAAAAACAACAAAATAAAGAATATGCATATAAACATTTCTATACCTTAAAATGCTAAGTTGTACATACCAGTGTTGGGTTTTCCACGATATATGGTTCTTCCTCTGCATTGTCATTGTCCTCTGTAGGAGCATCGACTTGCATAGGTTCCACCACATTTTGCTAAATGCATAAGATACAGTTGAATAAAAAATTATCTACAATGTGAAAAGATGAATAGTTCTCAACATATAATATTCAGAATACCATTGCTACAGAAATCAGTATTTAAGATAAATGTAGTAAACTGAGGATGTTAATTAACAGTAACATTGAATCGACGATAACATAACGCGAAAAGAAAATATCATACAACTTTTGAATGAGTTACAATGAAAATCGTATCGTTGGATACTCGATTTGTCCATGGTTTTGCATGTTGTTTTGAAATATTACCTGAACGTCGTGAACTTGCAACGACATGTCAACGTTCTCCCTTGCGTTACACCTGAGCACACCTGAGGAACTACGAATGAAAACAAAACTTCACGAGCACAGTATGCAACAGAAAACGGAGTCATACACATGCATGACCGGTACAGGGTACAGTGCAGCCAATTGGACCAACTATCAACTAAACAATATATGTGATTATGTTCAATCCACAGAATAGTAATATAGAATCAGAACCCTTATCAGAGCCTTTCGTGTTCTGTATTTAGAGATTAGGGCCAGCCCTAGGCAAAATAAATATGCTTCTATAATATATTTGTATAATTCATTTTATGAATATGGAAAGATCCATGCACTGGTATTGTCATCTATCGGCGAAATGCCAGAATTATGCCAATAAAAAAAAATACCACCAATTACAGATATAGTTAATTTATTACAATAAAATACATTATCAAATTAAATTAAAGCATCTTATACGTAATATACGTTAAACTATGCATACTTTTAATAAAAAACCGAAAAAAGGAAACTGTAATTTTTGCATATAATCGTGGCGCCATCTGTTCGGAAAACGCCAAAGTTTGTCGAGAATTAGTTCTTACTTTTGTTCGCGAGATGACGCAATTACTAAAAATATCACTGTTTTATCAATTTGAATCTTTATTTTATTATTTATAATTAAATTAGTGCATATTATGTGCAAAGCAACGTAAAACGATGTATATATTCAATAAAAAACAGAATATAAAAAAATGTATTTTATTTTTTTTTAACTTGTTACGCTTATTTTACGATAAGCTTGAGCGTTTTACCACGATTGGCGCCACTATAACACGAAAAAATTACAGTTTCCTTTTTTCTATTTTTTATTAAAAATATGCGTAGTTTATCGTCGTTTTACATATAATATGCACTAATTTAATTCCACAATGTATTTTATCGTAATAAATTAACTGTAACTGTATTTAGTGGTATTTTTTTTTTTATTGGCTTAATTCGGACGTCTCGCCGCTAGATGCCTATACCTGGTGTCCATTGATGATTATAATAATAAACGTGTATAAGATTCCTGCTTTTGTTGTTTATTAATAAAAATAGCGTATCGAATAGCTTAGAGCCCTATCAAGTCTTATGGATCGTGATACACACGTTTTCCAAAATGGAAAATATGATATTTATTAGGTTATGATTGAAGATATTTCACGCAATTAAATGGCAGTAATACATACCTGTCGAAGAAGGAAGAAGAAAGTTTACAGATGCTAAATTACAATATACAGGTCGTAACCTGAATGTTATTAATTAAAGGAATAGTATTTCCAATATAAGAATAACAATGGGTAAACATGAAGTGGGGACACCCAAATATATTGCAAACAAAATCAAAGCGAAGGGTTTGCAAAAATTAAGATGGTACTGTCAGATGTGTCAGAAACAATGCAGGGATGAGAATGGATTCAAATGTCATACTATGTCAGAGTCTCACCATCGGCAGCTGCTATTGTTTGCTGACAATGCAAGCCGTTATATGGATCAGTTTTCAAGGGAATTCTCACAAGGTTACTTAAACTTATTAAAGAGACAATTCGGCACCAGACGTGTGCCTGCTAATCGTGTTTATCAAGAATATATTTCGGACAGAGGACATATACACATGAATGCTACAATTTGGGTTACTTTAACTGCATTTGTTAAATGGCTTGGACGTTCTGGACAATGTGTAGTAGATGAAACAGAAAAAGGTAAGATTTCTTTCTGTTATTATTTCCCTACTTCCAGTGGATTGTAATTGAATTTTAACTATTTTTTTTTTAGGCTGGTATGTAACATACATTGACAGAGACCCAGAAACACTAGCAGCTCAAGAGAAAAAAGCAAAGAAACAAAAGATGGATAAAGATGATGAAGAACGCATGATGGAATTCATAGAAAAACAGGTAGAGAAGGGTCAACAAGAAGGTGGGGAAGAAACTGGAACCTTTAAAGAGCCATTGAAAAAAACTGATCCTGATGCACCTCTAATTCTTGAAATGAAGATCAATAAAAAACCAAAACTACTTCCCATCATCATAAAACAAGAAAAAGATAAAGACGAATGTTCTACTAGCAATGAAATAATTACAGTTTCTGCTATAAAACGTGAGAAATCAATCGATGAATATACAGAGAAAGATTCAAAGAACAAAGGAACAAAACGCAAATCCAAGGACATGGAAGATGACAATAATTTAGAAGGTTGGCTAAAGGAAAATTTAACAGTGAAAATAATTACAAAAAGTCTTGGTGAAAAATATTATAAAGCTAAAGGAGTCATTCAGTCTGTAGAGAATTCTAACTTTGTTGGAAAAGTAAAATTAAAATCACCTAAAGAAGTTGAAAACCATGTTATAAAGATCGATCAAGAATATTTGGAGTCAGTAATACCTGCAATTGGAAAAGAAATCATGATTCTGTGGGGAAAATACAAAGGTATGAAAGGAGTAGTGCATAAACTTCATATAGAAAACTATAGTATAGATATAGAACTTGTAAAGGATGGTACTATTGTAAAGAAGCTCCCATATGAACAAGTATGCAAATACGTGACATGATTGTTTTTGTGATAAGATGAAGATTATGTTGTAATTTCATTATCTTTTTAATAAGGTATATTATATAAAGATAGATAGATCGAAATTATTTATACTCTTATCTGTAGATATTAAAGTATCTTAAACAGCACCTGTGTGCACAAAATTTATGGTGTTTGTTCAAAAACATCAATTCTTTTTATGTATAGCATTTCTCAAATAAATCTAATTTTCTAAAAAATCTCCTTTGTCAAATATATCAATAAAACCGTTTCATATTAATTAACAATTACTCCCTTTCATATTAGTCTGAACTAATATGAGAGATATAAATAATATTCCTTAAAGGGTAACAAATGTAAATAATATTACATATCAATCCCTTTGTAAGTTATATTTACTTCAAGAAAGTTAAAAAGTATTTTTTATTTTCACATTAGTATTCCCATACAAAATGATGTTCAACACAGAAACATGTGGCTCAATGTGGCTGTTGGCTATTGGTTTCAACACATGCGAAACATAACCTTCACAGTTCATTTTATTCAGTAGAAATTTAAATAAAAAAATTTAATTTAATTTTAGGAAAACTGAAGTGTTTCTTATCCTCAAATTATTCTAATTTTATAGCCGTGTAATGTACATGAACTTACTGATTTTTGTAAATAATTTCGTAAGTTTTTTCTACTGATTAATTTAACAGTGAAAAGGTGTTTTAAATAATTCATGACACTATGTCTGCTTTATTTAATGGAGATGATTTTGATTCGGATGGAGAAATAAAAATAAATTCAGACTATGCTAAAAAATATGATACATGGCGACAAAACGAAGAATTGAATAAGTGTATGTAATATTTCTGCTACATTTCAAACTCTGGTACTTCTCATATCAAAATGTATTTCCAAATGAAAGATTTTGTATTTCAGTGAAAGCAAAGTATGGAGACATCGATGGAAATGCAACATCAGATGAAAGCTCCGATACTGATAGCTCATCAGAGGAAGAAGAAGAAAATGTATGTGTGTGATATTCTACATGCTATAAGTTCCTGTTTTGCATTTTATTTGGATTTATTTTTGCAGGAGTTAGCCCAGCAATTTGACAAAGATTTCTATAAAACTTTGGCTTGTTTGAAAAAGAAGGATCCACGAATCTATAAACAAGATGTGACATTTTTTGACGATACTAATAAAGCACAAGAATTGTATAGCGAGAAGAAGTCAACTGATAAGTCAAAGAAAGAAAAAGCTGTTTATTTAAGAGACTATGAACGAAAAATTATTCTGGAAAGAGAAGGGAAATACAGTGACAGCGAGGACGAGGATATGCTAAAACAGAATAAAGAAAAAACCAATACATTCACATATACTCAAGAACAAAAACAATTGAAGGAAAGTTTCAAAGGTGTATTGCATGACGAGGAAGAAGAAGATGCAGAGTTACTAAAACCAAAATCCAAGTCTGAGAGTGAGAAACAGAAAGTAAGTTGATGTATAAATTCTCAATTACAAAAAATAGAACAATTTTTATTGTTTAGGAAGAGGCAGATTACAAAGAGTGGTTAAAGGGGCAAGAATCCAATATAGATGAAACAGAACAAGAAACGCTTAAACCTCTACGTGACTTTTGGTCCAATCCTAATTTGGATTCAAACGAGAAGTTTCTAAGAGATTACGTACTTAATAATAAGTATTTAGATAAAGAATACGCGGGTATTGATTTAAATCATGCGCATATGGTTTACAACGACGAAAATTTATCGGAAGATGAAAAAAATGTAGAGAAGCAAGAGGAATTTGAACATAAATACAACTTTAGATTCGAAGAACCCGATCAGGAGTTTATTAAAAGATACCCGCGTACTATGGAAAATTCTATACGAAGAAAAGATACGCGCAGAGCACAAAAAAGAGCTGAAGTGAAGATGAGAAAGGCAGAAGAGAAGTTGAAAAAGAAAGAAGAATTGAAACAATTAAAAGCATTGAAGAGGAAAGAAATCGAGGATAAACTAATGAAATTAAAAGAGATTACAGGTAGGCAGAATTGAATTAGTTATTTACAATTTCTAAATTATATTGTTTAATTTAATAGAGAAATATTTTGATCGCAGGAAATGAAGATATCAAATTTAACGATATTGATTTAGATGGCGATTTTGATCCGACTGAATATGACAAAAAGATGACAGAAATTTTTAACGACGATTACTACGCGGCTCCCGAGGATGATATTAAACCTGAATTTCCAGAAGTTGACGAAGAACTGGAAATTGAAGATACGTGGGACAATTATGATCCAAATGCCGAAAATTATGAAGAAGAATACAAAGGGCCGCACTGCGAGGATCCCGATTTTAATGTAATTAACTTATCGTTATCTTGTATCTTCCTTTTATTCTTTTACCATTTCAGCGGTACAATTTCAGATGGACGCCGATTACGATGCATCTAAAAGTGTTCAGGAAGAAATAGAGGGTACGAAGAAACGAAGACGTAGACGGAAATCAAAATTCGCCGAACTTATAGCAACAAAGAAACCAAAATTCGATCCTGAACAGTACAAGTCTTACAACGAATATTTTGACAAATATTATTCCTTGGATTATGAAGATATGATCGGGGATATACCATGCAGATTTAAATATAGAAAAGTTGTGCCGAACAATTTTGGTTTGAGCGTCGAAGAGGTTAGTTTCAATGTTACATTTAGGTTATTTATTTACGAAAATATTTAACGATGCATTTCTAATGTCAGATATTAATGGCCGATGATAAAGAATTAAATAAATGGTGTTCCTTAAAAAAAGCTCTACAATACAAGCCAGAACACGCGGAACTAAATGATGTTCAAATGTACAAGCAAAAGGCTAAAAATGAAGCGCTCAAGCAGAAGATACTTAGAAGTTTGTATAGGTAAGAAGAGAACCTGTACTTAATCTTCGATCTTTTGTATAAATTGTATACTTTATATTTATTCCTCAATAGCCCTGAGGATGAAGAAGCAGATAAATCGGAAATCGCGAACAATTCCACCACTGTTTCCGAAACTACGGAAACGAAGAAGAATCGTCCACGGAAGAAAAAGAAGAAAGCTCAAAACGTTTCATTCGTTGCTGAAACTAATGGTGATGCATCTATAAATAACAATGTTCTCGCTAGAAGTGACAAGAAGATATCAAATAACACAGACACGACATCGAAGGAAACCAAGAAAAAATCAGAAGCTGAAAAACGAAAACCCTCCGACCAACAATGCAGACAGCCAGCGAAGAAGAAACACAAACTTAATACTAATAATGAAACTCTAGATAAAGCTATCGACGACGAGTCAAATTCCAAGCAGTCGAAGAAGGCGCAGGTGAAAGGAAAAATGAAGAAGAAGTTTAACAAGACGAAGAGTAAAGACTTCAAGCAGAAGGAACCCAATGGCGACATCGCCTCGTTGAATCCAGAACGTTTGAAGATGTACGGAATAAATCCGAAGAAATTGAAAAATAAATTGAAGTATGGAACGAAGTAATAATAAATAAATAAATGATACGTCTGTAAATACGAATTTGTACATATATGTAATAGACAATTTTAAATGTGTGTTATTATTGTCTTCCTAGTCCTGTGTTCCTTTTTTTGCACCGTAGCACGCGGGTTGCATCGCAACACGCCCAATTTGATATCAATAAACATGCGGGGTAAACGTTTGGCGAGGATACGACGTGATCGAATACCCGCACCCTCGAGTAGGAGTGGCCATGTTGTTAGGGTGAATCCGTTTCGACATGATAAACGACGTTTGCGGATTATTAGAATCGTAGCAGTCTGTTTGCGTTTACTCTTCTAAAATCTCCATCTCTAATCCCACCCATATGCTTCGGCGAAGAAAATCGCTGCGCTTATCTCGCCCTCTGTTCTTTTAGCTCGATAATCTTTCACTTTTATCGTATTTGATGTTATATGCTTACTTATTACTTGCTCCATATATTTATTTAACTCTTCAGCTGTTCTTCCAGAACAGAAGAATTATTTAACTCTTCGTTACTTTCCTAGAATAAAAAGTATCACGATATTCTCCAACTGCGAACAACTTGAACAATAGAAAATAGAAAATCATTATCGATGCATGCAGTTGCTGTACGATGCCGCGAATGGAACTGCAATGACTGGAATAATTTAATCGACAATAAAGGCGAGGTATCTCCTACGAATTTTAGTTAACGAGAGGGGAGAGGATTAAGGATGGCACGGTGCTTGCGACCATCTAAACTGGCCCATGTCCTATCTGCTCCCTCGGGTGCAATATATCAATTCTCCTTACCCCTGCAGTAGCAGGTGGCTCCTGACGGCCAGTGTCGTTCGCACCCTTAATTCCCAATTAATGTTGCACTCGTTGTAAACGCGTGTCGTGCGTCCATTGCGTTGGACGCAATGTCCAAATTGCGAGAAAATCTTTTGCTATGATGCGATGAAATAGGTGGGTAGTAACTAGTAACAGAATAAATATGTTTCGTTACACAGCTTGAAAAATGAAGGAGAATAAAGAATAGGATGCACAGTGTGATATTTCAGCGATCTAGCGGGACAAAAACTTATGTGGTCCAATATCTCGGAAACTATTGGGTTGTCCGGAAAGTTCATGCCTATTTTTAAGAACAATTCAGACATATTTAAATTTTGATGTATATGTATTGAATTATATATGTACCATTTTGTTCTTCTTTTCCACCTGTTAAGGAATGTACATATGTTATTTGTTTTCAGCCATATCAGATATATTCAGACCTGTACCGCCTACTAAAACTCGGCATGGACTTTCCAGAGAGCCCAATATTAGGTCGTCCACATACGAAGCTATTCAAAAGAAACGCAATTGGTTGGTGACTGAGTGAAATCACAAACTAATTACTTATTGGTTAGTAATGACTTGAACATTTTTAGATGTAATATTACAGCAAAGTCATATTCTCGGTTATTGTTTGAACAAATTTGATTAATAATTAACGTAACTATTGTCAGAAATTAATTTTTAGTTATTCCAGCGAACAGATATAACGATATAGAAAAATTCTCACGATTACTGTGTTCGATGAATACTTATTCTGAACCGTACGGTAGAGTACAGTACAGTAGAGTAGAGTACTCTAGAGAACCGTACAGTAGAATCGCGTGATTCTTATTAATATTTAATCGAAGAGTGAATGTTACTATATGCATTGTAAATATTCTATTAATTAGGAGATGTACATATTTATTGCATTTTAAAGTTTTAGATCAGTATACCAATGTTTTTCGAGAAAGTAATATTTTCGAACATGAAAAGTTGAGAAAAAGTAATCGTGAGATATTTCTCTATATTTGAATATCTATTGATTGGAACAATTAAAGCTTAATATCTCCGACATAATTAAACATTTATGATACATACAGTATCATTCAGTGTTCTATTAAACATTAAGAACAATTACGGTTCAGAATAAGTATTCATTCGTCACATTAATCGTGAGAAATATATCAATATTTTAATATTTATTGATTGGACCATCTAAATACTTATTTATGATAATAGCTAAATTAATTATTAACGATACTTATTATTTAAACAATGATGGGGAATATGATTTTGCTGTAATATTAATGTTTCACGAATTATTTTCTCGATAGATCCAACGAGCCTTCGAATCGACCGTCACGGGGTTGTTGTTCGCCCTTGCCCCACTCTTGTTCGATAGCGAACCGCGATCCTCAACACAGGTATACGAAGGGTGCGGTCTCATTCTTCGACGATCCTTCGGTCGATATGGATCTCGCGATCGCGCGTCCGCGTCTCGTATCCCTCCTATTTTTGCTTGTGTAGTTTCCTACTTGCTTGTGGTATTGCTTGTGGGTACCTTAGTTTGGTTTGCTTAGTTTTAAGGCATGTACCTAAGTTAGTTTTAAGGCATGGATGTACGAGTGTCTGTCCTCTACCAAACAATTATTAATCAACTTATTTTGTTTGTTCGTAGGTCCATATTGGACTCGCAACTTCGTTCTCCACTTCGGTCACTATTACTTCATGTGATAAGTGTAGTGACCAACTGTGTAACTTGAGAGAAAGGTCGGTTGCCGTCCTCCTGGTGGATCTGTATTCGAGAGGAAGACAATCGGCTCCTTCGGATCGGTCCTCTACTTCCTGCATCACGTTTAGTGTAGTCCCAGACTCCCGGCGCAGTGCAGTAAGTCCAAAGCGCAGTGAGACGGATGCAAGTCGGGTACTATAGTGGCTCCCAACGGGGTGCAAGTTGTAGAGGACTGGTTCGGAGGCGTCGGTCGTCTTCCTCTCGAGTTCAGATCCAACAAGAGGAAACGGGACTGACTCAGTAAGTCCGTTACATGGTCGCGTCGTGTCGCGATTTCCATTTAGCTTCCATTTAGTTCAAATAATTATTCGGTAGAGTCAGAGACATAGATTTTGGAAATCAAAGGGAGTTTGTTTTCTTTGATTTCCATAGTTTCGTACTTGGTATTAAGCTCGTCGACTCTATGTAGAGTATGCATCTATGTATGTATACTGTATGTAGAGGGAGATCGAAGGAAGTTTGATTCCTTCTATCTCCGGGTCTCCAGTCGCAGCAACCTCCACGTGGTGAGACCTGGTAATCGGTATTACTCGTGACGAACAATCCTTTGTCGCGAGTAATATCGAGCTAATGACTGCGAGCGAATATTAGGGACATCTGGGCGGTTTTGGGGGATTATCAACGTTACTCATATGTAAATTTATATATATTTTTTATGAGTTTCGATTGCGTTCGACACCATTCGACATTCCTTTGTTCTGTCCACCGAACTAATAGAAGAAAGTAAAATTATCTATCGTTGTTAGTATCATATTCAATCAAATAAAATGCCCAATGCTCTGTTAAACGATTCTAGAAATTTGGAATTAGAAGCTCAGGAGCCTCAAACAATTACTTTATTTCAACCGTACGAAGTAGAACAAATACTGTTACCTGACAGTGAAAATTGTTTAGCTGTACAAGCTTATCTTAAAATTTGCGGTCTTGAATTTCAAATAGAACTAAGAAGCAACGCAGAATATATGTTACCATCTGGTCGAGAACCATTTATTAAATGTGGGGCATTTTATATATCCGAATTTGATAGTATCGTGTCGTTTATAAGAAATAAAGGCATAAGTTTGTCAAATCATCTATCTCCAATTGGCAAAGCAGATATGAGAGCTTATACAGTGGGTGTAGAAACTATTCGTACACTGATCAATTTCCAAAAAAACTGTGTAAAATTGTAATTTATTAACTTATTTTTTATAAACAATGTCATTCTGCATATTCTCGGAAATCTCTAGAATAGATAGAGTACAAAAAAAAATAGCTATTTATGTAAGTTGCGAAATTAACAAGAAAAAAGCAATAAGTATTCGCACAACTGTTTAAAAGTACTTTACTGGAAATTTGATGTTTTCTAATTTGCACGAAGCAATAAACTAATGTGTTTACGTTACAAACTCTACCGTAACTGGTTCGTCATAAGAATCGTACAAATACTTATTGCTTCTATACTTTTACCCAGTTTTCGCATTTTTTTGTTAATTTCACAAATTATATTAACTAGTAAATGTTGTTTGGACTATATCTATCTTAGAGACTTCCGAGAATATGTAAAATATCATTTATTCCAAAGAAGAAGTTAAGAAACTACAATTTCACACAAAAGTTTTTTGGGAAACTGATCGATGTACGAATACATTCTACACCCACTGTATATCGTTAGTGAATAATATATTTGTAAATGCTGAATTATATATTTGTTGGATCGACGAAATAACTTTAAATGAGGTAACTAAACCAAGACATGGGAGCGTGTATCCTTGGCCCTTGAATTACTTTTTAAACTGGCAAGGAAGAAAAGAAATCATAAAGAAACTCAAAGTACATGGATGGTATAATAAGACTTTAGAGGATGTATATAGCGAAATCAAAATGTGCTGTGGAGCATTATCCAAGAGACTCAAGGGTAATGAATATTTTTTTGGAAAAAAGCCGTACGAAGTAGATGCTTTGATGTTTGGTCATGTATATATATTTTTTATTTTCCGAATATAAATGGGTATGGCAATATTTGTTTTTAGAGTATTTCAATGCTCCTTGACGGTTAATTTTGGAAACGACATTCACGTTTTCGATTCGTTTTCCATTGAATGGTCGAAATTAAGCATTAGCCAGTTCGAGACACGTTGCGAGATCATTTTCGCGAATTAAGAATCGGTTAGGGACCGTTCAATGGAGGAACTACCTCCACTGAATTACAAGCTATCGAGTTTCAGGATTACCGAATTTCACGGGCTAACGCCTCCATCTGGAATCGCATGGGGTGCTAGTGTAATTGAGGCATCATCCATGTCCACGTTCTAATTGGCGGAAAATTGTTAGGGCTCCGTGAAGCCGCGGACGATTCCATGGCAGAGGATTCGAGCAAAGTATAACGTCAATTAAATTGATATCAAAGTTATACAGATTTTAAATTACATCATCCACGAAAAGTAATCGTCGATTTGCTAAGACGTTCTATCGTATCTTAATTTCTTCAAT